TTTAAGACTTTTTATGTTAATTCATAAATACTTATATGAATCTATTTAATCATGAACACTATTAATAATATTTTATTACCATGAACAAAACCATTTTCATCACCTAAATGGATCAAATAGCATTCCTTTTGCCATTATAAAAGTTTTCAAATTTATAAGATTTTTGAATCACTCATGGCTTCCAAAGTAAATATTCTTTGAAATTTTCACTATATAAAACCATAGATGATAAATCATTTGTATAATCCATGAATTAGACCATATATATAATAAAAAATTACCACAACATGATTAAGATTGTGGCATCAATTTTGGCTTATGGTTATTCTAAATCAACTATAATAATCCACATCATGCCTATAAATCATGTAGATTTGACTATTGAAGTTATCTCATTTATAATAATGGCTTTTAGTGAAAACCAACTATCTCAAATATTATCTTGAGTTTTCAATGTAGATAGCAATTTCTCAATGGTCAATTCTAAGTTCATGATAATTGAAACCTCTAAACTTGATTTCAAAATTTTATGAGAACTTTATTTTTTCACCATTTTGTAGCCTATATATATATATATATGTTATTTACTGCTTTTAATTGGTCAAAATATTTTTGGATATATAATAAATTCAAACTTTACTCATAGTACCAATATGCTTATATACAACAAGAGTCGATAGTATATTTAACTCTAATTTCAAATACTTTCACAATTATTTTGTGACCAACGTGTTCATATCTAGATCACCATAACAATGCAAGTCATGAAACATGAATCTAAAGAATCCTTGTCGTAAAATAATATAAACAACAATTATAATATGAGTTCTACTCATATTTCATGCAAAAATTCGTGATGAATTTACGTTAGTTAAATCATTGATTGGCTAACTCTAAGGCTTACAGCTTTCACAAACCAATATTATTATCTAAGCCCAAATGTTAATATGGCATATAACCAGCCACATCTTTGCCATTGTCATGAAACTATTGAAAATCTCAGAAACTTGTTCACTTTTCATTTTAACAGTTTGTAAAAGACCAATTTTTCGAGTACAAGAAGCAAGAGTACATCATTGTCTTTAACTAATAATGTATTAATTGGATGATGGTATTCTATGTCCATAGCTATACATTTCTTATATGTATAAGAAAAAAATCATCCCATTTAGTTCATTTTTGTAATATATGACAAATTATACCAATGTTCTTCATGCCATCATAAAATAAAATTAAACACATACATTTATTGATGCCTTTGGAACATTAAATTTTTATGTTCTTTTCTAATTTATAAACATGCCTAATTAGACATTGATGGGCATCCTTTAAAATGCTAGTAACTGACAAATGTTTCAATATTTTTTAATAACATGCCTTTTCGTTTAATCAATATCTCATATGCGAAAAGCAACAATGTGTTTTTGTAATGATTTATTAACTATTTGACAGCTATTTATGATTTTTTACTTTGTGGTTGTCTATAATAAAATTTTATTTTGTAAAATCACTTTTAGTGTGATACACCTATCAGGTAAAATACATGTCACACTACTCATGTTTTGATAATAACAATTATTTGGTTTATTATCCACCAATTAATCCATGAAACACCATATCTTAATGATAATTATTCACATATATCAATTTAATTTTAATTGGTTTTCATGAAGATTGAACACTAGTCAAAATTTGAACCAATAATAAAAAATATATATATCAACATTTGATTTATAAACGACTAATAAAGATAGAACTATACAAATAGCTTATCTTATTATTTCAATTTTGGTTTCATGATTTAATAATAAAACTAATTTTGTAGCCAAATCTTATTTTTTACATATATTCTCTACTTGCATTTAATTTCTCATGATAAATTCCTTTACCAATTTCTTATTGTTTCATAAAACTATGAGAAAATTTACCTGTTCTATATATAACAAAGATATGATAATTAAACAATCGACCATTTCATCAGAACCTAATTTAATTTGTTATTTAATAACAAGTGATAATTCTTCTTGTCGTAAATCAATTCATGTCTTTCTCTTTTATGTTTTCAAGCTTTTTCCCATCCTAATCTTTATAAGTATCGATTTTTTAAATAAATATAATATACTTCATTAAACCCAATTGTAGAGTTAATTTCAGTATATACATAAACTTATGCAATATAATTAATATTTTGCATATTGTGTTTTGATTTTACATACTAATGAAATAAATTGGTAATGTGTTTATCTCATTCAGTCAATCATTTTATCAACAATTATGCAAAAAATAAAATACATACCTCTAATGAAGATCTTTATGAAAATTAATATTTTGGTCTGTAGAAACATTAATCCTTTGACACCTTGAACTTTCTCTAATAATGATCTCCAAATCATGCCAATTTTTTTTCTTTGTATCTTCTTCATGTGAAATATAAAATTTTTATAATTGCCTTTAAATTGTTAGAAAAAATAAATAAGAGGAGAGAAATACTAAAAAGGAATTTTGACTTTGAGGTGTGAAAAATACTTTCTTAAAGGCAATTATGCCTTTAAAATATATTAAAACTCTAAATTCTCCAATCAGAAGTAGTAAAAATGATTATACTGAAAAACTTATTTATAATGAATGAACAAACAAACTTTTATTAAGATGATTATAACATTTTATATAATCATGATCTTTATAAATAATAATCTATTTATATTCAAATAATTGTGATTATTTATCATATGATAATTATTTTTGCTCAAATATAATTATTTAAAATATGAATAAAATTAATATAAAAATTAATTTTATTTATCAATAATTAAAATTTTTTTATCCAATATAAAATGCACCACATTTTAAACTCCCAACAAATGATCCATCCTAATCATTGTTTGGGTTTCACGGCATATACCATCCAGATTCTTGCAGCTATCAAGATCGAGACATTTGATAGCTACGATTTTGTTTAAAGGAAGGTAGATAGTTCTGTAGACAATTGCAGTGTCGCCATGGCCAATGTCTTCTAAAATCTTGTAATCATTAGGATTCGTTCCTATTCTTCCCATTCTCCCCATTACTGATGAATATGTTGTAAATTTAGATGTCAATTTCAATGCCATAAAAACGACTGAAAAAATCTATATGATTCCCTACTATTTTCAGTCTCCTTTAAACTGTTAGAACCCCAACTGCAAGCCTCTTTATATTTTTTTAACTTGTGATTACATGAAAGTAAATGAGAATCCCAAGCCATATGGCAAAGCAGCAAATTCCAGGAAGGAAACAGAGACAGCGTATTCAAAGAAGGGGACAAAGTCTGAATTTTAGTATTACAAGAAATTGGCACCGGCTACGACGTGGTCCTAATTCTTTTTTTTTATTTTAAAAATATATATTTTTAATGTTTTTTTTAATAGTTAGTGTCTTGTTTGATGATATTAATATATTATTTAAAAGTTTGAGTTTGAATGTTTTCATTTAAAATATAATAATCAACATATTTTTAAATTTTTTTTAAATTTCATTATTAGAAGAGTTTCAAACAATTATTATGTTGTGTTCTGTATTATTAATTGTTACATTCATCTAACAAATTAAATAAATTTTTAATTTTAATTATTCTAACAAATTAAATAATTTTTAATTTTAATTAATACAAAAATAAAATTATAATAATAAATTAAAAATTATACCTCACAATATAAAAAAAAGGAATTAAACCAGCACGGAATGGACCCTCGGCTGGTCATTGACTATAAGTTTTATTTGAGGAATGGCAATGTTGGGGTCCTGGGGATAGGGAAAACAACATCATTGAAAAAATGAAAAATTGCACCAAGTTACAACAATGAAATTTGAGGTTTCTTGTCTGAATTTTGGACATTAATTAAGATTCTAATTGAATTGAAATTGTCTATCAGGTTCTTTCTTAATCACTATGAATATGAAATGTTTTTAAGAGGGAGCATAAATCGAGTTAATAAATTGAAATAGATTGAATTTGGTAAAGTTAATTAGATTAATTTGATTTTAATAATTATTGATTAAATAATTTAATTTAATCAATTAATTGTGTTGATTTTTTATTTTTAAAATTAATAATCGAATTGAGTCAGCTTTTTTAATATAGTATTAATATATTATATATAAAGTAAATATATAAAACAAATATGACTATAAAAAAGTAACAAATATGACAATAGTGACAAAATTATAAGATTAATTTTATTTTATGAAAATTATGGCAAAATTATTTTTTAAGATTACTGACAAAAGAATGATGAAATTTTTTTTTAACCAAATTGATTAATTTTACATCTTTTAAATTATTTTTTATTATTAAATATAAGTCATTCAGTTCAATTTATTTTAGCAAAAATTAATTAAATTATTTTTAATTTTTCAAAATTAAATTGATCGATTGTTCACTCTAACAACGTGGATCATATGCTACTGAACTATTTCATATACAATTCAAAAAATGTTAATGTGGCTAATGGTTTCGTACACTTGCTTTGTACTAGATTGCACGTGGATTAGATTCAAAGATGTGATGTATATGTCTAAAATTAAAACGCATGAAAATTAATATAATTTAAAAATTAATTAAAGTTTTTCAAAAAATTCAAATGCTAAAAGAAAATGAAATTAAAATTTAGTGTCAATTATATTTTAAATTAATTTATATATTATTAAAATTAATATTTAAAAATTATGAATTTAAAAAAATTTTCGCGTTGTAACGTTTTCTTGAATCATGTAAGTAGTAGAGGGTAGACTAAAAAAAAAAAAAAAAACCTAGTTACGAAACTAGTTCATTACCAGGGAAGGAGCAGAACTAAAAGCATTTTCGAGCATAGGTTAGGACTTTGTTAGTTACAAGACTGATTTTTTTTTTTTTTGTCATGCTCTTTAATTTCATGTTAAAAGAAAACCCAGAACTTGAATCCTCTCATTATAGTTTCGCCTCTTTTATGATTTCTTGTTAAAGTTATTCATCCTTTACCCTACACATAGATTCTAAGGCTTTTCAAATTGGGAATATACTTGAATTTACAAATTTGAATTGAGAAGAAAATTGCATGATAAGCAGGCTGTTCCTGCGGGTTTTCCCTCTTTCTTTATTTTTTTTTTTCCTTGTTCTGAATTCATTTTTGCTATGTGATTGTTTGAAATTGCCAGTAATTTGTTGAGATAAGAGCATTATATGTAAATGGTATGATAGTGAGGATTTGCTCGACTGAACAAGCATGCAAGGAATTGGTTTGAATTTTTACACACTTCACCTGAAAGTTCATACTTATTTTTTTTCCCTGTTTTTCTTTCATTTTTATTGTAAAAAATGTGATTTTCTCGTTAGCACATTATCAATTTCCATCCAAATCCGGCTTAAGTAAAAAAAAAAAAAAAAGAAGAAAGGCTTGAAGGCTTATTGTACCCAATAAAAGGGTAGGGGCTTAGATCAACATTTTGTTAGAGATTGAAGGCTTATTTTATGATGATGTCGTATGGCCTAGTATTTAATTATCAATATTTTATGAGCCAATAATGAAGTGAACTTCTTGGTAGTTTTTGACCAGTCACCTATCGTATCAGAACTGCTCTATTAACACCTTTCGGCCTTTCTTCTTCTTATAATTCTTGCTTGAGATCTGCCTCTTTCTTTGCTACATGCATAGGTGTTGTTAAATTTGTTGTATTTGGTGTAGCGTTTCCTTATCTAATTTCAGTATTATTGTGAAGGATCTTTTGGTGGAATCCATCCATCATGGAGTCTGGCTTTCCATGTACATTTTCTACTTTGCTTGGTCAACTCCCTAAAGAAACATGGTGGGATGTTGATCTTTATAACTGGGAAGGCTTCTGGTATAGGAGTTCTCACGTTTCTGCTGCTATCGCTGCAAGGTCAAACTTCCAAGCGAACGATGATGATGTGTTTCTGACTTCTTCGATGAAGACAGGCACCACATGGCTCAAGGCTATCATCCCAACAATCATGAATCCCAAGGGTCGCACAGATGATTATACTGATGATCCTTTGCTCAAACATCATCCTAATGAGCTGATAACATCCCTGGAAATTCAGCTTTTCAAGGAAAGTCCAAATCCTGCTCTCTCAGGTATGCCTTCTCCAAGACTATTCCGAAGCCATGTCCCTTACCCTATGTTACCGGAATCTGTTAAAAACTCTGCTTGCAAGATTGTGTATATTACCCGAGATCCTAAGGACACGTTTGTGTCATTGTGGCACTTTAAGAACTCTTCGACTACTGCTATGGGAAAAAGTCCATGGCCAATGGATGAAGCATTTGGGAGCTTTTGCAGAGGGGTTCATGCCTTTGGGCCATTCCATGATCATGTTTTAAGTTATTGGAAAGAGAGTTTAAAGAGGCCTCAGAAGATACTTTTCTTGAGATTTGAAGACATGAAGAAAGATCCAAAGGGGCAATTGAGGAAGCTGGCTTCTTTCCTTGGAAGGCCTTTTGCCAAGGAGGAAGAGGTAGACAAAGTGTTGTGGAGATGCAACATGGAAAGGCTTAAAAACCTGGAGGTGAACCGATATGGAGTCGACCCTTGGGTAAACATTGACTATAAGTTTTATTTCAGGCGTGGCATTGTTGGGGATTGGGAAAACAACATCACAGATGAGATGAAAGAAAGGTTAGACAAAGTTACAGCAATGAAATTCGGGGGTTCTGGTCTGGATATTGGACAATAATTAAGATTGTAGCTGAATTTAACCTATAGTTACCAGGTTCTTTATGAACCTCTAGATGTCATTTGCTTTATGTATTTGTCCAATGAATGGGGTGGCCTCATATATAAGAACTGCAAGTTTAACAGGTTGTTAAACTTCCCATTACAAGTCTTGAGTGAGCGACTGAGAGCTTTTCCCCTTGAATAAGCATTTCTCTACTGAATAAAGAATAACATTTCTAGAAAAAAAAAGTCTCTTCCTTTTTTAGTTTGAGATCAAATTCTGTCTTAGTTTCAGAATAACTAAACGTTATATATATATTGTAAAACCTAGGATAAACTGTAATTTCTTATTGTCATTGTAACATTGATTTTATATAATTGCAGAGGTGAAAGTCAAGGTTTCATGATAACTCTCACGGACTTAGCCCATGAGATCTAAACCCATAATTTTATATCCATCATTGTAACCAATCTCCATGCACATGCTTTGGTACCTATTTTCAATGGCCCTAACCTATGTATCAATGGTCCAAAAAAAAAATCTTTCTTTCATATTTGTATCAAAATGTAGGTGAGCTTTGGGCATCACAATTTTAGCATTTTAATTACTTTTTTGTGATATTCATTGAGCATGCTTTTATATATTTTCTTAAATTTAGTTGCTTAATAAAAAATTCTGAAGTCCCTTCGAATTTATGCCTCTTAGTCATGCCTGTGGATCCTTATATGTTTCAAAGGTATTTACTTATTTTGTTGTCAATTCTGAGCATTCTTTTTGGTTTCATAGATCAGTAAAAATAGAGTATTTAAGTTCAGAAATGTGAATTTTGGTGGGTTGTTTGGGTTGTTATGTTAAAAGGGATGATATTAAGGCTTTGTTGTGTAAGAAGGAAAAAAAGGTGAGAAGGGAAAAAAATTTGTTTTCTTTGTTGGTAGAAGAGACTGAAAATGATTCCTCAAAAGGTTAAAAAAGAGATTGAAAATAAAAGAAAGAAAACAATTGAGGATAAAATCGTACACAAAATGATTAATTTTAGCTGAATGTGCATTTTCATTCCTTGCTTGTGGATGAATTGGATTTTTGGGGAATGGAAAGGTGTGAATCTATCCAATTTTTATTGGGTTAAAAGCATTCAATCCAATCATTTCAACGGAAGCGAAATCAAACAATTAATGAATTAAACACATAAGAGACAATAATTTAATGTGGTTCAGTCCAACTGAACTACATTTACGGATGAGAAACAAAATCCACTAGTTGTAGAAAATTACAAATATACATCAAATCATCAACCTCACTCAATAATATATACTCATAAGACACTCTCAATCTTCTTTAGTCTTATGGAGTATTCTCAACCCAAACAAACACAAATCCAAACCCTTGTGCACACTTTCAACATAACCAAACACATACCTATATGCTCTTATACATCATACCTATGTGGACTCTTTCAGTCTCCTTTAGTCCACTCACAAACAAACATACACACCTATAAGATGTAAAGCCCCAATACACCTATGGGGTGTCTATCTCACAAAACCTTACAACTCTCTTACATCTTTTTCTCATACCAAACCTTGTAGAGACTTCACCTATTTATAACCATACAAACTTGCCCATTAAGAATCACTCTTTTCTTAGAATTCTTCTCTTTGAAGTCAAACTTACCTATTAAGAGTCCCTTTCTTTTTGAAATTCTTCTCTTGCAAGTCAAACTTACCTATTAAGAATCCTCTTTCTCTTAGAATTCTTCTTTTATAAGTTTTCTTGTCCATCAAGCAATATCTGACAAATCTCAAACAAATCTCTTATGGGATTTGAGTCAATATTCCGAACAATCTCCACCTTGACTCAAATTCCATCAAATCATCTGTCTTAATGCTACATATGTTTGACTCCACCTGCAATGAAAGTCTCACACTCATCTCCTCTTGTGTGTCTTCATGCTTCATACAAACTGATCTTCAATCCTTAAAACTTGAACTCGAACTCTTCTCTTAAATCGAGCTCTTCTAAACTTACTTCTTCTCATGTCTTAAACTAAGCTCTTCCCATATCTCAAACTGTCAACTCTTTTCATGTGTCGAACCATCGGCTCTTCCCACATCTCGAACATCTGACTCTTCTCACGTTTTGAACTTTTAGCTCTGATACCACTTGTTGAGGAACACCACATCTTTGATATCATTTGTTGGGCTAAAAGCCTCCAATCCAATCACACTAACGGAAGCGAAATCAAACAATCAATGAATCAAACACACAAGAGACAACAATTTAACGTGGTTCAGTCCAACTGACCTACATCCATGGATGAGAAATAAGATCCATTAGTTGTAAAGAATTACAAACATACATCAAATCATTAACCTAACTCAACAATCTATACTCATAAGACACTCTCAATCTCCTTTAATCTTATAGAGTATTCTCAACCCAAATAAACACAAATCGAAACCCTCGTACCCTAAAACTCTCTTACATCTTTTTCTCATACCAAACCTTGTAGAGACTTCACCTATTTATAACCATACAAACTTGTCAATTAAGAATCTCTCTTCTCTTAGAATTCTTCTCCTGTAAGTCAAACTTGCCTATTAAGAATCCCTTTCCTTTTAGAATTCTTCTTTTGTAAGTCAAACTTACTTATTAAGAATCCTCTTTCTCTTAGAATTCTTCTTTTACAAGTCTTCTTGTCCATCAAGCAATATCTGACAAATCTCAAACAAATCTCAAACAAATCTCTTATGGGATTTGAGTCAATATTCTCAACAATTTTTTACTCTTTCGTATTTCCTTTCTAGCAAATGAGCGAAAATGGGGTTTCATTGATATAAATATTTTTGTATTTGGTGCATAATTTCTCCTAGAAGTTGGTGAGATGATAAAAATTCATTTCTCAAGTTAGCACCTTAGATCAGTTCCTGTAAGCAGCTGCTAATAGAATCCTTCAAATTTTCTATGATGGGGGTAGTTGATTACTGTAGTGCTGGATAGAATTTGCAGTTACTTTAAGGAAATGGTTGAAATGAGATGGTGTTGGAGTCGTACTTGTGGCTTTTCATTTTCTTTTCAGTGGATAAGAAGTGGGACCTTTGTTGCTGAAGATCCCTGATGTTGCTAAGGGAATGCCTTCACTAAAAAGTACAAGTTGTTTTCTGACAAATCCAATATACATGATGGGGTTGGAAATAAAACAAGTGATGATGGATATGGAGGTTCAGGCTCATATGGTTGGTTCAAATCTGCATTGTTGGATGAGGTGATTACATAAACTTCTCTTCCTCATTGCCTTCTCTCCATCCCTGACTCTTTTCCTGCTTTCTTTCTGCTTAGTACACACCACAGGTGAACTTGTTCTGCAATGCCATAATTAGTGTTCCTTTCGGTTAGATAACTAAAAAGGAACTTTGATGGATGATGTAGCATTTTTGGATATTGATGATTATTTCATTTTCATGAATCCATAGTTAGATGTTCATTACATTAAATCTATTGATACAGTGACTTGTAAAATACTAGGACACCAAAAAAAGTGAGTTCAAAGACGCGAGAATGACTAAGAAAGACCTGGTTTTCGTACTCAGATAGCAAGTACTCCAACACTAGAAAATATCATATAGGCTTTAATTCCTGTTCATTGTTTCTATATATTTTTTGGAGTTAACCCATGAAGCCATGTTTTGAAATGATGTTTCTGCATAGCATTTTAAAATTAGAAATAGGTCACTTAAGTGGCTGTGGTGGTTGAGGGTTTGAGGAGAATGCCCTTTTTCTCTGGATAGATGATTATAAGCCCAGATTTTCACACTTAATGTTCTCCTCTTGTATCCAGGAAAAAAAGTGAAATAAAGGATTAACAGGTACTAGTATTCCTTTCTACTTAACATGTTGCTGTAAGTGTGCATAAAAGAAGAATGTAATAGAGTATTACATGTATGTATTTGTTGAGAATTTGATGGGAAAAAGGGCAATGGAATAGAGGTTTGGAAAGGATACATGGAGCAAACACAATGATGACATGCCAACGTGCACATTCATACACCGTCATACATAAATATGTACTATTATGTGATGCCTGTCATCAAGAGTTGTGACATTTTTTTTGTTTGATTAATGGCACAACAAATTTTTTTTAAGAGATGTTCAACAAATGTCAAATTGGTGTTGGTGCTATCCAAACAAGGCTTTTCCTTGTGAAGCACCTTTATCCTCTGTTTACTGAAAACTGTCTATACTCTGCAGTCTGCGCTGCCAAGGGACGTGAAAAGCTAGTATTTGCAGTAATGAACTCCCTGTCACTTCTATTTTACATTTCATCCATTTTTATTACTAGTTGTTTAGTCTTGCTGGCACGAACTACTTAGCATTCTTATGATGCTTTATAGTTGATCTTGCTAAACTGATTGTACTCTTTTTTTGACCTTTTAATAGTCCTCATCAGCTTCAGTTTGCATCGAGTGCCGTTCTCAAGAACCAAAGGATCTTTTCAGCTGTCATTTTTGCAAGGTATGAAATATCCATTGATACTCTCTTGATCCTCCTTTATTACCATGAACCTGCAATCATTGCAAGGATATTGAGAGGCTCAACCCTTATACCTTTTAATACACATATCTCGATGTAGTTTGTCTAGAACATGTTATCTAAGACTGGCATTTTTTAACCTTGAATTGTCTATAACATGATGTTGTACGTTCTGTATTCAACTCTCCTTGGTGATATGCTTGCTGTTTTTGGAATGAAAGGTTCTTTTACACATTGAAAGCTGTTCATATCCGATTATTAAAATATTAATGGTATTTATTATACTAATGAAATTTAAAGTGGAATATTAATGAAATTTCAATGAAGATAAAATTAAAACATTGAATTTGTAATAGTTATATAATATTACAACACCCATAAAAATAAGTTTAGCATTTCAGTGGGAGCAATTGCCTGCATTGCCCCATTGTAAATCCATCCCTGCAGTTAAAACCGAGGCTGGGTTTAATGCTTTCATCGTCGTCATCAGGCAGCAGAGATGCTTGTGCTTTCAAATCCTTGATATTAAAATTCCAGGCACTACTTCCTCTTTGGTACTCACTCTGTGATTCAGCTTCTTCTGGTGAAGGCATTTTCTTTAAATGTAGTGCAGAATCATTATTCTGAAGGGCTTTCAGAGGATTCAACGGTGGTGGCAGAGTAGCTAGTATCTTCAAAGAAATCTCAGGAGGCTTTGCGTGCTTGAAAAACGAGTGCTTCAGCAGTTTCTCTGCAGTCGGCCTCTTCCTTGGGTCTGTCACCAGGCACATGGAAACCATGTCTTTAAAAGACTTGGAGAACTTCTTATCACAATCATAATCAAGTCGTGGAGTAGCATTTTCTACCGTCATCAGGGGAACCATCATTGGTGGATATTTGGACAAAGGTGCATGACCGTGAGCCAATTCCAACGCTGTTATCCCAAATGACCATATGTCAGACTTGGAGTCATAACCAGTCCCTTGCTGCAAGACTTCGGTGCCATCCAGCAAGGAGTCCCAGTAAATCGACAATGTTGTCTATCTCATGAATCAAACATGGAAGCCGAAACGCCGAAGTGGGAAAGTTTTACTGTGCCGTTGTCATCAAGCAATGTGTTACCCGCCTTGACATCCCGGTGGATGTACCCTTGTCGGTGCAGACACTCTAAAGCCTTGAGGGTTTCTTTCAGAATATAACATATAGCGGTTCTTGGAATCCATTAGGACAAACTTCTTTCATGCAGTGCAAACAGGATCCTTTTGACAAGAACGGCATGACTACCCAGAGATTGCTATCAACTGAAAACGAAGAAGATGCTCGAACAAGATTTGGGTGATCCGCCTTTAATCATCGTTTGAGTTTCACGGCGTATATCGTCCATAGTGCTAAAGCGATCGATATCTAGACATTTGATAGCTACGATTTTGTTTAAAGGAAGGTAGATAGCTCTGTAGACAGTAGCAGTTGCGCCATGGCCAGTTTCTTCTAATATCTTGTAATCATTAGGATTCGTTCCCATTCTCCCCTTAACGGACGAACATGTTCTGAATTTAGATATCAATTTCATTGCCTTGCTTTTGTGCTCTCCTTTCCGTTCCGTAAAAAAAAAGTGAATTCAAAGACGCGAAAATGACTAAGAAAATCTTTATGATTCCCTACTATTTTCAGTCTCGTTTGAATCGTTAGAACCTTAGCCTGCGGCGCACTTGTTCAGTGGGAAAGGCTGTAGAAAAGCTGGCTCTGGCGGTGAAGCCAAGTATTCTAAATGAGAATCCAAAGGCCTTATGATTACTTAAAGGCAAATGAGAATCCTAAGCCATTTGGGAAATAGACTAGCTATTTATATTCTCTTCCACCAAGTAAACGAAGCCGCAAGTTCCAGGAAGGTGACACAGACGAAATCATTTTTTATTTTAAAAATATATTATTTTAGTGTTTTGTTTAATAATATTAATATTATTTAAAAATTTGAGTTTGAATGCTTTCAATTAAAATAATAATTGACTGAAGAAATCATATTCTTTCTTTTTCTTTTTTTTTTTAAATCGTTATTATTATATTCTACTCTTTATTATTAATTGTTCCATTCATCCAATAAGTTAAACAATTTTTTAATTTAAATTCATCTAACAAATTAAATAATTTTTTAATTTTAATTTACTATTAAAATAAAAATAATAATAAATTGAAAATTATATCTCAGAATATTAAAAATTTAGCATATATCACCTACTACTTTTTCTAAAAATTCCTTGTAAAAGAATTAGGCAGTCCTATGAGCACGTCTTTAAAAGAAAAGAGGTCAATAATAATAAGAAACAAAAAATGGGTAATAGTTAAATTTATTCTGGCTCATCATCTACCCTGCTTCTGCAATGGTGATTGATTAATCGTCCAAAAATCACAAAAAAAAAATTTTTTTTGGTTAGTTTTGGTTTAAAAATAAATAAAAAAAGCAGTAAAATTTAACCAAATAAAAATTCCATTAGCAAAAATTCAACACTTCATTTATGCGTAATAAAAAAATTAAATTTCTTAGACATACTTAATTATGTTTTTTTCAAAAAAATTATATGTTATAATTAATAATGGTATTTATAACTAATTCCTATTAGAATCAAAATATTAAATATAGTAAATAAAGAAATAAGCCATAGAAATCAAGATTGGCTATGAGGCATGTAGCTGGCTTCAATTTTGTCTTTTCTAAGTAGGTTGCTTTTTTTTTTTTAATGTTGTGTTCACGCTAAACCATTTTTTATAAAATTCCAAATACACATACATAATAGAAAATTAGAGTGACTGATCCTTTAAATTTGCAGAGGTTGCAAAACAAAAGGGTGAAATTCGATGCAAAGGTAAGAATATTAATTGTTATTACAACACAAGGTGGCATGTGAATGAAACAACATTGATTCCAATAACCACAGGCAAAATGGAAATGCCACTATATATAATAACTAATTTCTTCTGTTCTTCTTTGATCTTTTTCCATTTTGAAGCCGTTTGCCTTCAACCAAATTCACAATCCATTTTGGTTTTCCAGTTTGAAAGACAAGACATCCACAAGCCAGTCCAAATATCAATCCACAGCCATACCCCATCGCCACAACTTTCCATCCAAATTCAATACCTGAGCCTTCCCTTGGCATGGTTGGCTTTTGCATCTCAGTTTCATTGCAAGCTTTTGACAATGGAAAACCACATAACCCCAAGTTTCCTTCATATGAACTGTTTTCAAATGTGTTGAATTGTTTGCCCTGAGGTATTGGTCCGACGAGTTGATTCCTGGAAAGGTTTAAAAGGGCAAGAAATGTCAAATCTACCAATTCCTCTGGTATCTCACCAATAAGCTTGTTAGATGATAGATCTAACCATTCTAGATTGGCTAAGTTTCCCAATGATGGTGGAATATGACCAAAGAAGTTGTTATGAGAAAGATTCAGCCCTCTAAGTGAATTAAGCTTTCCTATAACTTCTGGAATCACTCCCTGAAAGTAGTTTTTGGAGAGATCAATGCTTGTGAATGTGGTTAAAACTTTCTCCAATTCAACATGTTGTCCTTTTATTGTCAAAACTACTGAATAATCATACGAGCGGCTTCCTTGCATGTACTGTGAAGAACTTTTGCTGTCAGCTGTGAGATTTGCCATTGCTTTTAGATTTTCAATGTACCAAGCTGGGAAAGGACCAACAAAATCATTGTTCGAGAGGTCTAAGACTCGTAGCTTGGGGAAAGGTAGTCTTGCTCCGGAATTGTTTACAAAACCATGGAATTTGTTTGAACTCAAAACGAGAACTTGTAGCATTGGAAGAGTTTCCAACCAATTGGGAAATGTATCACTCAACTTGTTGCTGCCAAGGTCTAGAACCTGAAGGTTCCTGCAATTGGCCAAAGATCTTGGTAATGGCCCTTCCATTTGGTTTCCATGGAAGTTGAGATTCTCTAAGCTACAGGGCTCGACAAATGTTGTGGGGATTGTTCCGTGGAAACCATTTGCCCTCAGATCCAACACTGAAAGAGTGTTGCTAAAGTTGAAAAGACAACTAGGAATCTTGCCGCTCAAGTTGTTATGTGATGCGTCAATAATTCTCAGGGAACTGATGTTGCAAATCGAAGAAGAAATCTCTCCTGTCATGTAATTGTTTGCGATGGAAAAGAAAGATGTCTGAACGGGTGGAATTGGAAGCACTCCTTGAAACCGGTTGGACTGCAGGTAGAGAGTTAGCGCATTCTTCCATGGGAATTGCACAGGACCTGTTAGAGAATTATGGTCAAGGTATAAATGTAACAAAGATTCCTTCCCAACTTTCCACATCCATTGGGGAATCGGGCCTCGAATTATGTTTTTGGAAAGGTCTAAGATCCTTAGAACCTTTGAACCTCTCAAGAAATTGGGGAACTCAGTCAAGTTACAAGACGACAAGGACAAGAAGTGGAGTTTGTTCAATGCAAAGTTGACACCATTTTTTGTGCTCAATGACAGACTATTATGCGAAAGATCAAGAAATTCAAGATTTTGGAGCTCTGAAAACATGTCTAACTCTACACTGTCACTAAAGTTATTTAACGACAGATCAAGCACGGTGAGGTTTACAAGTTGAAAAATTGATCTTGGAATACGACCCTGCAGCATATTATTTTTGAAATAGATAATGGACAATGATTTAGACTGGAATTCGCTAATATGACCAATGAATCTATTGTTTGCAAGAGACAATAACTTTAACGAAGGCAAATTAAACACCCAAGGTGGTATAGTTCCATTAAGTAAGTTAGAAGGTAACAATAAACATACTAATTTGAAAGACCATTTGCAAAAGGAGGAATGGTACCTTCTAATCCATTATATGACAAGTCTAAATGTTGAAGCTCTGTGAGGTTTGCAAATGACGCTGGGATCCATCCACTAAAATTATTATCCGGAAGCTCTAGGACAACAAGTTGTGAAAGGTTTGCTAGTGATGTAGGAATTGATCCATTCAAGTCGCAACTAGCAAGATTTAAAGATTTCAATGACTTCAAACCTCTGATTGAACCAGACAAGTCTCCGACGAGAACAGTCTGTTTCAGATCTAAGATTTCAAGGGTACTAGTCCCATTGGACTTTGGGAGATAAACCACTAGTTCAGGGTTCTTACCTAATTTGAGCAACTTAAGATTTGGAAACCGAAAAATTCTGTCCGAAATTGTCCCATTTAGTCCACAATCAACTAGACTAAGAGAAGTCAAAGAGGAAGAAAGATTCATTAAGTAACCATGGTCAACTGAACACATGTCTATTCCATCAAGGAAAAGTTCTTTTACCCGGCTAAAGTTCAGAGCTAACCTTTTCAGAGTTGTTGTTTCAAGCTTCAGTTCATTAAACGGTTCTTGGTCACTGGGAAAAGGTAGACTGAACCTAGACAGATCAAGTGAAACTAGCTTGGAAAGATGTGAGATTTCAGATGGAACTTGGCCTGAAGAAAATGAATTAGAGAGGTTCAGATGTGTTAAATTTGGAAACTGACCAAACTTGGCTGAAATGTTGGATTGCCTAAAATTGTTAAATGCAAGATTGAGCCTCTTCAAGTGTTGAAGGAAGAAAAGACTGCTGTTGGAAGGAATGGTACCACAAAGCCAACTGCAACTAAGATCTAGGCCAATTACACGACCAGTATCGCTGTCGCAAGTGACTCCTTCCCATGAGCAACAATCTGTATCTTCCTTCCATGAATCTGTCTTGAGAAAAGCTGCAATGCCATAATTTGGATTGCAAAGAAATGAAGCATTGCAATCAAAAAAGAGGGTCTGCTTGAATTGAAGCAAAGCCTGACTCTCATTGTGAGAACATGTTGGCCTTTCGATTAAAGAATTAGTGAAAGAGGATGATATGAAAGCCTGAGAATATAAGTAAAACAAGAGCAACGAAAAGAATTGATAATTCCCAAGAAAAAACCTCAGTTTCCCCATGTCAAAGTTCATATAAAAACTTGATTTGGTTGATAAGAGTGATGGGGAAAAAGCATACAAGCATTTATAGGGTAACAAAGAGTTTTTATGAATTGTTTTCTCCAATCATATTTTTCCAACAAAAAGTGACAAATGAACTAACGCACGCACAAGAGAGTAACAACTTATTCTATATTGCTTCAATGGGGAAGACTCAAATGAGAAATGATGACAGGTTAAGAATTCCGAGATATCGGCGTTCCAAGATACCGGCAGAGTCATACCAGTTAGATTAAAATTTCTATTTTATTTTATTATTTTATTGGTTTTTTATTTTTTATGATTTTATTGACCCAAAAAAAGTTTGGCCAAAAGGAGAGAATTGGATTGAATAAAATTCTTGGAATTAAAAGTCTTGTTAGACTTTGGGTTGGATTAAAAATTTTAATCAAATGTATAACGTATCTCGCTTGAATTTGAAGAAAAATCCGAATGTATTTAAAATTAAACTTTAAAATCAAAATCTTTGTGAAAATAAATCAGAAGTAATTCTTGTTCTATTTGGTTTAGGATTAGATCCCTATTTTAAAAACTTACACAAGCACGTAAGGGAATAACAATTAAGAATCGACGCAATAAGCAGAAAAAAAAAAAAAGCAAGAGAAGGGAAAATTGGTAGGTGGATAATAGAATAAGAGAGTAGCTAATAAAAATTTATTAGTGGTGCTAACTGTTTCAAATCTTCCTTTACTAATTCAATTCACGTGTCATTGAGTAATTTTATCTCTTTTTTTTTTTAAATAAAGGTGCTTTAAAGAAAAGCAAACTATTATTTTCCATTTGAATGGGGATAGCAGTAAGCTTTTCAATAATGTCACGAGGAATACGAGCACTAGCACATGAAAAATCCTAGCACCCTCCAGAGGAGACAAAGTCCTTGACCACCAAGGTTTCATCATAGGAGCGCCAAGGGCCAGAGACTTTTTTATTAATTAAGAAGACCAAGGCTAGCCCAGTCATCCTACTAGAACAAGGCTTTGGTTCCCCATTTGACAATCCATCGGATACCTCGCTCAAGGATAGGTGTGCTTGTGCTCATATCTGCCCAAATGGGCGGGCAAGCCTTCTTAATGAACTCACCAATTATTGTGTATTTTGCGTTAAGAACCATAGTCCAAAAAATCTCAGGTTCAGTGAGGAAACGCCACCCTAGTTTGGCCATATTACCATCATTAAGCTTTCTTATATCCTTAAGGCCAAGGCCTCCAACTTCTTTTGATAAGGTAGCAGTGTCCCAATTAACCTTATGCATTTTTTTTTTTTGTGGTTATCTGTGGAGCCCCAGAGAAAGTTTCTACTAACTTTGTTGATCTCCTCACAGACACTGGCAGGAAGATTCGATGACTCAATGAATGATAAATTATATTAGTTTTAGGGTTGTAATATATATATATAAATACGTGTATAAATGAGTTTAAAGTCTACGAGATATATCCAAAAATAAAGCCCAATCTTATAAGTCAACTAAACATAATATGCATTTTAACAGTCCCCTCAAATTGAAGATGGTTCAAAATGAAACATCTGAAGTTTGGAAACTAAATAACAAAAATGTGAACTTGAAAAAGACTTTGTAAAAAGATCTGCCACTTATAATTCAAAATAAATATGAAGTAGCATGATGATGCCTTTGCGTATCTCCTATTTGATAAAATGACAATCTATTTCAATATGTTTCATCCGTTCATGAAAAATATCATTGTGAGCAATTTGAATTACACTTTTACTGTCACAAAAGAGTAGAATAGGAGTAGGTGTATCAACAGCTAAATTCATAAGTAACCGACGCAACCACATAATTTCTGTTGTAGTGTCTGATAAAGCTCTATACTATATTTCAACACTTGAATGCGCCACAACTGTCTACATTTTGCTTTTTCAAGATATCAAAGAATTACCCAAAAACACACAATAACAAGTTGTAGAATGTCAATCATTAAAATCATCAGCCCAATCAAAATAAAAAAAAGCATGAAGTTCAAGTTTAAAAGTTGATGAGAGCAACAAACCTTTATGTAGCATTTCTCGTAAATATCTCAATATCTTAAGAACTACAGCAAAGTGATTTGTCTAAGGTGTTGTCATAAATTGGCTTACAACTTGAACTGTATGACTAATATTAGGTTTTGTAATTATCAAATATATAAGACTACCAACCAACTATTTATACAAAGTAGCATCATTGTGAAGTTCTCCATCAGTAGCTTTCATTTTAACATTAGTTTCAAGAGGAGTATCATCAATTTTATTATTAGATAAGCTAGCTTTAGAAATAAGATCAAAAACATATTTCATTTGAGACAAGACATATCCATATGAGGAACAATAAACTTCAATTCCCAAAAATTATCGTAATGGACCAAGATCCTTCATCTCAAACGTTTTGCTAAGACGATTTTTTATATTATGAATGCCAAGATTATCATCTCAAATTATCATCATATCATCAATATAGAGAAGCAAAATTACAATACCTCTTTCAAATCGACGAATAAATAATATTGAATCATAAAGACTTTGCACAAATTCGAAGTCCAGCATAGTAATGCTGAATTTCTCAAACCAAGCACGCGATGCTTGTTTCAGACTATATAAAGCTCGTCGAAGCTTTCACACTTGATTAGTTTGATAAGACAATATAGGAGGAGCTTTCATATAAAATTCTTCACAAAAAATCTCCATTCAAGAAAGTATTTTTTACATCTATTTGTGATAAAGCCCATTTCGAATAGAAGCAATAGCTATAAGAGTTCGAATAGAAGTCATTTGAGCTATATGAGCAAAAGTTTTTTCATAGTTAATATGATACTTCTGTGTAAATCCTTTTGCAATGAACTTGGCTTTATATCTCTTGATAGACCCATCTAATTTAGTCTTTATCTTGTACATCTACTTGCAATCCACTACAAATTTTCCAATAGATAATTCAACAAGATCTCAAGTATGAGTTTTCTCTAAGGCATCTAATTCTTCTTTCATAGCTATTTGCCAAAAAGGATAGAACTTGCTTCATAATAAGACTTAGGTTCGTAAACAGAAAGAATGGTAGATAAGAAACAATGAAAATCATGATAACATTTTGAAAGAATTCACTCATGTGTTGAATGTCTAAGTTTTGGGACAGACGGCTCTGATGAATTGGACAATGGTAGTGCATGATCACTTATGGTAGAGTCAGTGATGGGACAAGCTTCATTTTGATGAATCTGTTGAGAAATTGAAGAACTTTGAGACACATGAGAATATTGATTAGAGTCATTTAAATCAATAAAAAGATAAAAAATGATAAAAGACTCATAAGGATCATTGGTAGATTTTTGAAAACGAGGCAATGAATACATCGAAATATTTTTTCCAAAAAAGTAACATGCCAAGAAAGATGAAGTTTTTGCGGAATAGGGTCATAGCAATGGTATCCTTTTTGTCCAATACCATACCTTAAAAATACACAAATGGTAGTTTTTTTATATAATTTATCACAATGAACTTTAGAAAGTGAAACAAAACATGTAGAACCAAAAATACGAAGCTTAGAATAATTAGGAGTATTGTTATAAAAAATGTTCAAAAAGAGAATTCTACCAATAACAGAAAAAGGAATACGATTAATAACATAAACTGAAGTAAGTGCAGTTTCCTCTCAAAATTTTTTAGGAACCAATGAAGATAACAACAAGGCTTTAGTGGTTTTCATGATATGACGATGCTTTCTTTCAGCAACACCATTCTACTATGGTGTATCAGTACAAGATGATTCAATACTTTGAGAAGCAAAAAACTCTTTTAAATTACTTGATTGATATTCCCCAACAAATCAACATGAAAATATTTAATAGTTTTTGAAAATTATGTTTTGATCATGGCAGAAAAATCTTGATAAATTTTTAGTAAATTCGAACGATGCCGAAATAAATAAATCCAAGTGTACCTCGAATAATCATCAATAAAAATAACATAATAACAAGAACACCCCATAATAGGTAAATAAGATGGGCCCTACATATCAGAATGAACAAGATCAAAAGAAGATAAAGAAACTGATTCACTTTTATTGAAATGTAAAATATATTATTTTGCTGAAGAAACTAATTCACTTTGATTGCAAGGTAAAGTAGATTGTTTTGCTAGTTTGCAACGATACAATTATTAAGCATTTCTAACTTAACATAATTGAACTTGCCACTAGATAGCAAATATTGAAGTCTAGAACAAGCAACATGTCCTAAACTATGATGCAAAAGGGAAAAAGAAGAAAGCTTTTGAACGTCAGAAACTAATAAGGATTTTCACATAAAAGGATGATCAAATTGACTAAAAAGACAAGGTGACACAAGTTTTCCAAACCAAATAATCTTCCAATTTTACGGCCTATCCCAACCACTTTCTCCGTTAAGTAATCCTGTACCACACAACCACAAGAGCAAAAGATGACATTAAGACCTTGATCACATAATTGACCAATAGATAGCAAATTCATAGAAAATGATGAAACCAAAATAACATAATCAAAAGAAACATTTTGAGAACATGAGACAGAGCCAATAAGAGTAACAGATATATTTAAACCATTAGCAGTATGAATAAAAGGTGAACAAGTAATAGGACTTAAAAAGTCAAAGATAAAATTATCAAAAGTCATATGATTAAAAACTCCAGAATCAATGATCCAATCCTTAGAATTAATACCTGGAGTAATTGATAGTGCAAATGTAGAAGAATTATTACCCATAGAGTTGTTACTCATACTAAAAATAATTTGTCGAATAATCTTTTAAATTTGATCTGCAGTGGAGAGAGAGTTAACATTAAAAGTTTCTGTAGATGACATCGCAGCAGCAATTCACCCTATTTTACGTAAGCTACATTTCTTTTTCAATTCTAAGCAATTATGCTTTTTATATCCCAATTTGTGATAGTAGTAACATTCAATCTTAGAAAAATCCTTTCGTTGAGATAAGCTAAATGAATTGGAGATAA